CCAGGGGTGCCTCCTCCCCGTGCGGCCGGGAGCCGCGGCCGCGCAGCGCTCGGAGCCGCGTACGGGATGCTCCTTACGGCGCTCGGGAAAGCGGAGCCTCCTCAGGAGCTCCTCGTGTCTTACACAGTTCCAGCCGTCCCTTGGCGAGCCAGGCTGGCCGAAGGGGGGACGCCTTGGAAGCCCTAACGTGCTCAGTGCAGGTGCCAGGGGACATAAACGGGGTGCTTGGGGTGCCTGCTATGAATAAAAAGGGGTACCCTGAAGAGCAGCGGCCTGGTTCCAGTGCTGCAGGAGCCAGTCTGGTGGCTCGTGGGGGGACACGAGCCTGCGGTCCCCGGGTCACTCTTACGGTCTCGCATGGGACTTTCTGGAACGGAGCGGCGCTGCTGCCAGGTGAGGACCTGTTGGTTTGGTCATGTCGGCTGCTGCAGAGCCCCTGGAAAACAGCAGCGCGGTTGTCCCTGGAGCCTAGGGTGCGTATCCTTAATTGGTATGGAAACAAAAATCAACAGGTATTTTTCTGTAAGTCACAGGCAGTCCATTTACATCTTAACTATAGGGTGTGTGGCTGTTGTTACACTTACAAGTGTCAGTCACGTTACACCAGGCAAAATGAGAAAAGCTATTTCTGTACGCAGTGGCTGCAGTTGTAAAGGTTGTGGCTAAAATACCTATTTATGCATTTATTTTTACATATCTATGTATACACGCAGACATACCTGCCTATGTGTGTTGCTTTTTGGCACAGATTGTTTTAGCAAAGCTTACTTTTCCTGGTTGGTTTGAGAGCAAGAAACTTTCCCTATGCTGTGATCAGCCGGAGCCACCGGCTTCGAGCGGCTGCTTCGCTCCAGGAACAAAGTTTTCCTGGGAGCAGTAGGAATGCAGCTACTTAACTGTGCGGGATCGGGGCTGGGGCTGCACGCGGACACCAGGGCCCCCACGGCAAGGAAAGCTGCTCGGCCTCCCTGTGCTGCCTGCACAAATGATTGTACAACCCCAGAGGGTCATTCAGGTGCTAGGAGCCTTGGTTATCACTGTCAGCCTTAGGAAAGCACCCGCTAAAGGACACGCGGAATAAAAATGGCATGGCCTGGGATACGAGTAGTTTGTCTTCAGGTGGGTATTTCACGCTTGATTTTTTTTTTCTTTTTCTAATACTCAGATCTATAGTTTATTTTGGAGGTGTTTTAATAAAGGTTTGACAGTAGCTTTTACATTTAGGAAACTTTGACTTGCTTGGCATTAAAATTAGCATCTTCATATGCAACACGATGGCTCTCAAACGTTCCTCGGAACACCGGAGTTTCCCTGAAGACAGCCCTGCTGCTGGGGAGTTTCCATCTATTTCCTGCTGGCAATCCCGTCCTTGGCAGAGCCCGAGCTGGGAATGTGCCTGTTATCACAGAGGAGCCGCCGTCCCTCCGTGAAGGGGCATCCGGATAGTGGAGAGCCCGTCATTTTCCCATCCCATTCCCTGTTTTTCTGGCACACACCTCTCTGCGTATTGAAGGTGTACGTGGTGGAGTGTGTGACACTAACTGATAGCTGCTCCCGTTGAGCTTTTATTTACACGAAATGGAAGACACTTTCAGTAATCTTAAATTGAGGATGTATAAATGGGTATTTTTGAAACTCTTGAAAGTTTTAAGTAGTGTTAGTGCATATATTTTGGGATTAACCTCTCCTCTCTGGAATTACTTAGTATCAATACAAAGATCTGGCCCTGAGGCAGTTTGTTCCTCCAAGACAGTGTACTGAAATTATTAAAACACAGAAATCGATATATTTTTGGGTTTCCCCAGTTAAAAAATGAAAAGCCCAGTAGTTTGATCATACCCTATTGCTTAAAACAAAGAAGAGTGGGAAAGTGCCCGGCCTCGCCAGGAGAGCGGCTCCGGACGCAGCGGCCTGGGAAGGGGATCCGGGCGTCCCGCGGTGGGGATGGGCGGCCGACGGCTCCCGTGGTCGGTATCGAATGGCAGGCGCCGTGCGGAGCGCGGCTCCGTGGGGAGCGTCTCCAGTGCAGCAGGAAGGCAGCAGCGCGGCTCCGTGGGCAGCGCGGCTCCGTGGGGAGCGCGGCTCCGTGGGGAGCGCGGCTCCGTGGGGAGCGTCTCCAGTGCAGCAGGAAGGCAGCAGCGCGGCTCCGTGCGGAGCGTGGCTCTGTGGGCAGCGTCTCCAGTGCCGCAGGAAGGCAGCAGCGTGGCTCCATCCATCTGAAGGGGCAGAGGCAGCAGTGGTGGAAGCGGCTGTTGGGGCCATGGCTGTAGCCCTCTTAATGAGCCGAGCTGCGAATTCCCAGCAGCTCCCTGGGATGGGGAGGGAAGCGGCATCCAATGACCCCACGAGCTGTCCGTGTCCTGCCGGGGCAGCTCCTGGTGGGAAGCGGTGACGGTTCCTGCTAAGGGCAACCTTTAGGGCTTGTGAATACCCCTGGTGGCGGTTTGCTTCAGTAGGGTGCAAGGTGGAAATCAAAGGGCATGGAGTGTGTTTTTAAGCTTAGCTGTAATGATGGAGTGATGATACGTGGCTTTTATGCTGTTCAGGTCTTATCAAATGTGATCTGTCGTGCTTGCAAGCTGAGTTGGAACAGGTTAGGTTCCTGTGGGATGGCCTGGCTTTCCTTCTGACGTGTGTGTCGTGCTAGGCAGGTAAGCTTGCACCTAGAGCAGTTATTCCCATTCCAGAACTTGGACTGGCATTAGCACAGGGATATGTATTCCCATAAGCCCTTCCCAGGGAAGTGCTGGGAAGGCAGTGCGGGGCTGCTCTTGGCACAGCCCGCAGGTGACATTAGCAGGTCAAATCCATAGAAAATTGCTCAGCTGGTGGCGTTTGAAGCCGGCGCTGGTTGGCAGCCCCGCGCGTCCGTGCGGGAGGAGGAAGGGTGACGGTTCCTGCCAAGGGCAACCTTTAGGGCTTGTGAATACCCCTGGTGGCGGTTTGCTTCAGTAGGGTGCAAGGTGGAAATCAAAGGGCATGGAGTGTGTTTTTAAGCTTAGCTGTAATGATGGAGTGATGATACGTGGCTTTTATGCTGTTCAGGTCTTATCAAATGTGATCTGTCGTGCTTGCAAGCTGAGTTGGAACAGGTTAGGTTCCTGTGGGATGGCCTGGCTTTCCTTCTGACGTGTGTGTCGTGCTAGGCAGGTAAGCTTGCACCTAGAGCAGTTATTCCCATTCCAGAACTTGGACTGGCATTAGCACAGGGATATGTATTCCCATAAGCCCTTCCCAGGGAAGTGCTGGGAAGGCAGTGCGGGGCTGCTCTTGGCACAGCCCGCAGGTGACATTAGCAGGTCAAATCCATAGAAAATTGCTCAGCTGGTGGCGTTTGAAGCCGGCGCTGGTTGGCAGCCCCGCTCGTCCGTGCGGGAGCAGGAGGTCGGCGTCAGACGCGGCCTCGGCGGAGCGGGGCCGGAGCCTGTTGGGAAAGCCGAGGGAACGGGCTGGGAAAGGGGGCTGCGGCCAGAGGAGGCTGCGGGAGCCGCTCCGGGAAGGTTCCCGCGGCTTTCCCTGCCGCTGGAGCCGGCGAGCTCCGTGCCGTGCCGGCAGGACGAGCTCCCGCAGGCATTTCCAATGCTGGAAACATCCTGCTGCTGCGGGATGAGCCCGGTGGCGTTCCAGCATCTTGGAATGGTTATTGAAAGGAATTACGGTATCTCGTTTGGTTTGCTGTGAACGTTGATTTGCCTGACCTTGAGCTTGCTTTTCCAACCCCATTGACCTGGGTTTTCGGATTCTTTGGACTGTATTTTCTTCCCCTTTTCCGCAGTAATAACTGGTCTTTGTCAGCTCCGTAAAGCAGCGTCCTTACCTCACAGCTCTGAAGTATTTGAGTTAAGTTAGGAAGTGGGAGTAAGATATGTGAGCATTTAAAGAGGTTTTATGTAAGCTACTGTTCTTTGGATGCATTATCTATAAAACCTACAGATTATCTGCAAAAGAATCTTAATTAAAACTTATTTTGTAGGATAACTGGGATGATGAGGAGGAAGAAGAGGAAGTAAAGGAGACAGAGGTAAAACAAGGTGAGGAATTTGAGGAATACATTTCATGGTATGAGCATCAAAATACACGTTGGCTTCATCTTGAGTGGTATCGCAAGAACCAGAAATGCCTCCAGATAGGATTGGCTTTGTTTTTCACAAAGCATATGTTTAAATTAACTGTTTCTGCGTTTGGATCAGTTTTTTTCAGAACTGTTTTTTTTTTTCTCCGATTAGTGTTCTTACAATTGCAGAAAAAAAAAACCAGACAGCTGCTGAAGTACTTTATTGTTCAATGTCTTACAGAAACAAAGGTTTCAGAAAAAAAGAAAATAGCAGAAAAGATAAAAGAAAAAGAAAAGCAACAGAAGAAAAAGCAAGAGGAACTTAAAAAAAGGGTATTTTTTATTCTTACTTCCACGTGTCATAAATTTAGTGGGTGGGCTTAATTTTTTTTGTTGAGGTTGAACAAGACCTGGAAAGATCTTTTTTGACAGTCTAGTAAAATAAGTAATAGCGTCGGGTGGATATTAACTCTGTCTCTGTAAGTTAACTGCGTTACTGAAGTAATGCTTATCTTTATTTCTTTGTTTGCACCTCATGATAAAACATGTAGCTGTAAAACTTAACTGTTTCTTCTCACTTCTCTAAAAATGAGCAGTTTATTAAACATTTTGGCATTGCTGTACTTATTTAGGATAGTTTTCAGCTTTGTATATTCTGGAGGTATATTGACTTTCTGCAGAAGTTACCCAATCAAGTGGTACTGGGGGAAAAAAACCCACAATTTCTTGTAATGCTTCTGCTTAGGGGCAAGAAATATAAATGCTGTTCTCTCTATGTCTACCTTTATTTTTTAATTTAGTTAGAGGCACCAGAGGAGCATAAAGAACTTACACCAGAAGAACAGGTAGCAGACAAACTACGACTAAAGAAATTACAAGAGGAGTCAGACCTTGAGTTAGCAAAAGAAACATTTGGTAAGTGTGTTACACCTCACCCAGCAAGCCGAGGCAATTGTAGCAGACAAGTGTAGCATCCAACACAGCACTGGGTACACCCGCACAGCCCACCAGGAGAACAGGGTGGGATTTAATTGGCAGAATCCCTGCAAGTTGTGTTATGGAGAATAAACAGGAATTTGAACCCAAACTACTGGAAGCATATCCTGGTGAGCACTACAAAAACACACTTTGGAGTATAAGTTTATTTTTCTTAGAAGTCTTAACATCTCTTGGCGGGGGAAGTAAAAAAAACTGTTTTTGGCCAGCGAGTGGAATACCTGGTTCTACTTGCTAAGCTCTGCAGTTAAATCTGTATCTGATAGTACAGATAATAGCCCTGGCTGTTAGTTTTTTGTGCTGCAGAAGCTAGTGGCAAATTTCCCTCTCGTTTTTGCTGCCTGCCCTTGATGGCATCATTAGCAGTGACGTGGACGGGGTCACTTGTTTTGCCTGGTGTCATCTCTAGGGATCTCAGCTAATGTTTTCGTATGTCTTTACTTGCAGGTGTAAATAACACTTGTGGACTAGATGCCATGAATCCCTCTTCAAAAGATGACTTCACGGAATTTGGCAAATTACTAAAAGAGAAAATTACACAGTATGAAAAATCATTGCATTATGCCAGTTTTTTGGAAGCATTAGTTCGAGACGTATGTATTTCATGTAAGTTAAATGGAAAACTTCCTAGAGTGCCAGAATTGCAATGGGGCTATAGTTGAAAATCAGCTACACTGATTTTAAATCAGATAAAATCATTGCAGCTTACAGTACATGAAGTACTGGTGTCTGTGCCACTGACTGGTAACTGCTGCCGTCCCTGCAAACGTTGTCACAGGTGGTGTTTGTGCAGGACCTCAGCTCCTCCAGCATGCCAGCTGAGGCAGGGACTGTGTGGAAGTGTGAATTTTCCCGGTGATCTGTGCGTTGCACACTTCCCTGGAAGCAGCTTCTGGAACAGAAGGGACTCCTAGAGCCAGATAACTTGAGTAGCTCAGCTGAGAGGAAGCTGTAGAACTTCTGTTCAGTAGCTGTTCATACAACTGCGGGCTGCAAAATAACCTGTTCTGGAATGTGGCGTTTTAACTATGCAGAGATAAAACTGGATTAAACTCACGGCCCCGCTCCTCCCCCTGTGTTTGGAGAGTGAGATGTTTGCAATGCATGCAAGAGATGTCAAAGCAGTAACTCAGGCCTATTTAGTGCCCTGTAATTAGGGAGAAGCTGCTTCCTGGGATCCTCCGAAACGCCAATTACCAAGAGCCCGGGGCCTGCGGTCCTTACCCTGATTCTGCTGTAAATCAAGTGGCAGCACTTAGCAATAGTGCTCGTTTCTGTCTTTTTTGAGAAATTTAATGTTAGGTGATTTAACTGACTTCTAAGAGCAAGATTCATGATTCATCTTTTTTTTTTTTTTCCCTTATGCAGTGGAAATTGATGATTTGAAATAGATCACAAACACTTTGACAGTACTATGCAGTGAAAAACAAAAACAAGAAAAGGTAAGAGACTGCTCTGTCCTTCTGAAGCAGGAGCAGAAGCCTCTGTGGTGCTAGAAAACAGACATAGTTCCAAAACTGACTCGAACTTCTGATTGTTATATGTAGTAGCGGCAGATAAAATTATAAACTTGGATCTGATTTTAGGATTAAATACATTTAAATGTATGTGGCAATTGGGAGCTGATTAAATCTAGAAATGACAGGCAAAATCCTGATTAATTTGCAGTAATTACATATATACACACCAATTTTGTTCCATTTTATGCCTGTCTTGAAGTAAGAGGCTTACATATGTCAGCCTCTTTTCTAGTTATACATCATATACATCATTACTAATATCAGATATTGATGAAGTAATGGAAATATTTACCAAACTATGCCACTGGCATTTTGAAGAGCAGGTAAATGAAGTTTTTTAGTGCCTTGCAAGCTAAACAAGCAATAACTGCATACATGAAGGAGAGTAGGTTTTTAAAGGTAACTTAATAAAGTGTTACTTTATTAAGTGTTACTTTATTAACGCGCCGGGGGGATGCAAAACAAATGTATGTAATAAAACAGTGCTAAAATGTCAAGGTGCTTTGGGATTCAGTGATTTACTGCATAGTAACACAATCGAGCAGAAAACAGCACTGACAGTGCAGTTTTTTCATTGTTTTACATTAAACTGGAGGATTATTAGGGAACAAATGGCCGAGCGTTGTTCAATACAAATAGCAATTTGTAGATGTAAAAGGAGAAACTCTCCACACGTAACCTGTCCTAGTGGCAGGGGGGTTCTCTGATGCTGTTTCTAATTC